ACCTGGCCCACCTGTCAAATTTTCGAAATCAACGTGGCCCCCTAGCCAAAAAGTTTGCCCACCCCTGCTGTAGATAGTAATATGCACACTCTTCACACTTACCTCAAACTTTGATCGTGTTCAATCACTTTATAGATGTGCACTGTGGAGTAAAAAATCAATGATGCGAATTACAGTATGTGGTTTTTAATAACCATACCATTCATTTCCTGGTACTCTTACCTATTAATGTTTTGACCTGAGTCGAGAGTTAACTGCTGAGCAAAAATTAATTTACAGCCATTTGCTTAGCAGATAACCCGCGCTTATCTGGCTAAGCGGAACGCAGTTTCAGTGGTCGCCGAGGCAAAAACCCAGGCGTGGGAAGAGTTCGGTGAGGCCATGGAAGCCGACTTCCGGACGGCTTCGAGGAAATTCTGGTCCACCCTCCGACATCTCGGGAGGGGGAAGCAACTCGACTCGACTCGAGACATTGTAAGTCGGTGGGCAGAGTACTTTGAAGACCTCCTCAACTTCACCAACATGCCTTCCTTGGAAGAAGCAGAGTCTGAGGACTCTGAGGTGGGCTCTCCTATCTCTGTGGTTGAAGTCACCGATGTGGTTAAAAAACTCCTTGGTGGCAAGGGCCCAGGGGTGGATAAGTTCCTCAAGGCTCTGGATGTTGTGGGGCTGTCCTGGTTGACACGCCTCTGCAACGTTGCGTGGTCATCAGGGAGAGTGCCTCTGGATTGGCAGACCGGGGTGGTGGTCCCTCTTTTTAAAAAAGGGGACCGGAGGGTGTGTTCTGACTACAGAGGGATCACACTCCTCAGCCTCCCTGGTAAGGTCTATTCTGGGGTGCTGGAGAGGAGGGTCCGTCAGGAAGTCGAGCCTCAGATTGAGGAGGAGAAGTGTGGTTTTCGTCCCGGCCGTGGAACAGTGGACCAGCTCTGCACCCTTAGCATGGTCCTCGAGGGTATGTGGGAATTCGCCCAACCAGCCTACATGTGCTTTGTGGACTTGGAGAAGGCGTTGGACCGTGACCGTCGGGGAGTTCTGTGGGGGGTCCTTCGTGGGTATGGGGTACCAAACCCCCTGATACGGGCTGTATCAGGGGGACCGATCCCTATAAGACCGATGTCAGAGTTTGGTTCGCATTGCCGGCAGTAAGTCGGAATCGTTTCTAGTGAGGGTTGGACTCCGCCAAGGCTGCCTGCCCTTTGTCACCGATTCTGTTCATAACCTTTATGGACAGAATTTCTAGGTGCAGCCTAAGGGTTGAGGGAGTCCGTTTTGGTGGCCTCAGTATTGCATCTCTGCTTTTTGCAGATGATGTGGTACTGTTGGCTCCTTCAAGCAGGGCTCTACAACTCTCACTGGAGTGTTTCGCAGCTGTGTGTGAAGTGGTTGGGATGAAGATCAGCACCTCCAAATCTGAAACAATGGTCCTCAGTCAGAAAAGGGTGGAGTGCCCTCTCCAGGTCGGGGAGGAGATCTTGCCCCAAGTGGAGGAGTTTAAGTATCTTGGTGTCTTGTTCAGGAGTGAGGGCAGGAGGGAGCGAGAGATCGACAGGTGGATCGGTGCAGCGTCTGCTGTGATGCAGACTTTGTATCGGTCTGTCGTGGTAAAGAAGGAGCTGAGCCAAAGGGCAAAGCTCTCAATTTACCGGTCGATCTACGTTCCACCCTCATCTATGGTCACAAGCTATGGGTCGTGACCGAAAGAACGAGATCCCGGATACAAGCAGCCGAAATTAGTTTTCTCCGCAGGGTGTCCGGGCTCTCCCTTAGAGATAAAGTGAGAAGCTCGGTCACACGGGAGGGACTCAGAGTCGAGCCGCTTCTCCTCGACATCTAGAGGAGCCAGATGAGGTGGCTCTGGCATCTGATTAGGATGCCTCCTGAACGCCTCCCTGGTGAGGTGTTCGGGGCATGTCCCACCGGCAGGAGACCTCAGGGATTACCCAGGACACGCTGGAGAGACTATGTCACCCAGCTGACCTGGGAACGCCTCCGGATCCCCAGGGAAGAGCTGGAAGAAGTGGCTGGGGAGAGGGAAGTCTGGGCTTCCCTGCTAAAGCTCCTGCCCCCGCGACCTGACCCCGGATAAGCAGTACATAATGGATGGATGGATGGATGGATGGATGGATGGATGGATGGATGGATGGATGGATGGATGGATAACCCGTGGTGTGTGCATAATTTTTGGTGAGTTTTCTGGAGACAAATATAGACTAGGACATGTTTGATATTTTTTACCCCATGAGGTGAAAAACTCACCGTGTGCGCGCTACTGGAGCTGCTTTACCTGCTGATAGCAGAAATGAAGATGGTCAATCAAAACACATACTGTACACTGTTCACATGATCTCAAATGGTGGCCCCCAGAGTAGTTGTTATTGGTTGCATTTTAGAGGACAAAGTGGGCGATACAGTATAGGCCAGATTATAAATGTTTATCTGACATAGCATTAATCATTTTAAAAAACAGGGATCAGGACCATTCCAAGAGATGGCAAAAATGATTCATCAAATCAGACAAGGCATCGTCTGGCCCAATATTGATCAAGTTGTCTTCTAAAATGTATGCAAATCATTGTATTTTGTTTTTATTTATGTTTTACACAATGTCCCAACTTCTTTGGAATTGTGGTTTGTAATTGGTTTATTCAGTATGCTAGTTAGTTTATACAGCTATGCTAACACATTTTTGCTCATAATCGCATCGTGATATACAACGATTTATGGTTACGATTTATGCTCCATGAGGTAGGTATTGCTAGCAGGCGGTTAAGATAGTGATGTGAATAACTGGCATCAGTGTCCCATCGAATTTTAGCATAGTTTAGTCATCCATCCATTTTCTGAACCGCTTATCCTCACGAGTGTTGCAGGCGTGATGGAGCTTATCCCAGCTGTCTTCGGGCAGTAGGGGGGGGGGGGGGGGGGGGACCCCTGAACTGGTTGCCTGCCAATCGCAGTCGCATAATTTATGCCCAATACAAATAATAACATGATAGCTACACATTGCTCGTTGTTTTTAGGAAAGCACATCGAAATGTGATTAATATATGTGTCGATTAACATTGTATGTCCATGCCAGTTTCAGTGAATATTCGGTTCACTATGACACAGATGTGTATGTTGTGTACTGTATATCACTAACAGAGTAACAAGTAACAAAGTGCAAATACTTTGTGACTGTACTAAAGTAAAATTTTCAGGTATCTGTAATTTCCTTGAGAGTTTTTGAAAAATATTTTTTTCTTGCATTTCCAACATTTGAAAATTATATCCGTACTTTTTTTAAACAGTTTTCAACCTCCCTGAATGAGGTCACAACATCAGAAAAGACATAAATAGAGAGACGTGAAGTTAACTGCTGTTGAGATCTTGATTGATTCAGTTGTATGTTTTATAAGGCAGAAAAAAAAAAACAGGGACAGCAGCGACATGGATGAATGTGCAAGGAGCGTTACCAAGGACAGCAACACAGTCACAGAAGGAAGATTTTCCCAGCCTTATAGAAATGTTTGATGATGACCTCGACAAGAATGATTTATCATGCATATATTGTGTCTTGTGCCAGCCTAAAAAACACCAGCTTCTGGTGTTCAAAAATTCTCCAAAACACACAGTAAGATTTTGTTTTAATGTTGAGCCAAAGTATCACAAAGGGTATTGAATACTATTATTGACGAAGAGAAGAAAAAACATATTTTGACGTTTTACTCTTGTACTTAAGTACATTTCAGAGTCAGTATTGCTACGCCGTAGACTCCAGTATTTCTCCTTTTTGAATTTCCCAAAAAACACCACTGTGTAGGAAAACGACAAAAACGAAACGAATCCATAACGGAATGTGTGTGTGTGTGTGTGTGTGTGTGTGTGTGTGTGTGTTTTTTTTTTTTTTTTTGAGCCATGAACATTTTCGGCCCAAAGTGGCACCGTTCGTCACCATCAAACATGGTAGGTGGAGAGCAGTGGCGGATGCTGGTCTGTCAAGGAGGGGAAGCTCAATTTTGACGACATCATAAAATGTGTCCGTTTGTTTATTTCCATGTGAATTCTACTCTCCGTTCCTTTTCAAGAAAATTATCTGTGACCCTGTCATACCAACAAGGTGTCTTTTCCAGGGACTTAACTAGTGTCCTACGGCGACAGCAACTACAATAAAACCCACCAGAAATAAAAGATAAATTCTTCGCTAGTCGTTTTCAACAAAGAGAGTGTTGCTAAGATGATTAGGAGAAGTCTCCAGCTCAATTTAGAACAGAATGAAAATTGAAAGATGCTCCCACGGATGCCTACACCATAAGATCGGTGATTGGCTTATTTTGCTGTCAATCAAAAAGAGATCCCGCCTCAGACAGATCATCCAATCATCATGCAGGAAAGCTCAGCGTTCGGGCAGCCGATACACGCCCACTGTCCGTAGACTCCCGGAGACGCTGAGCGTCCGGTGGGCGGGACAAAACCAGCATTTATCCAATGACTCGTCTCGTTTCAATGCATTGGGACAACCTATACTGAACTCTCTCGGCGTCCAGCGTCGGCGCTGCAGACGCTCAGCGTCCACACAATTTAAAGCACAGTCAAGCTGCGGGAATGAATGAGAAGAGAGTCGCATCATAACCAGTATTAAGAAGCTGATTCGGAATAAAAGTTGAGCGCGTTGTAGCACATATTTAGTCAATGACATGTACCCACAATTGTATGTATCCACCTATATTTGATCACTTTTTTTTTTTTTTTTACATTTTAGGGGAAGCTGAGCTTCCCTTGCAGTCATAGAGCAATCGCCTCTGGTGGAGAGAGAAAACCGAGGAGTACTGTACTCGTCAACATTTTTGACACTTAAAACCAGGAGGGGGTGCCATAGCGCAAACAGCACTGCAGCGAGCTGTGCGTTGCCTGTACCGAAGAGGCTCACTGAAGAGGCCCGAGCTGCACGCGAGGGAGGAGAGAGGGCGGGGGGCGCCGTCTACCATCATTGGTTTCCAGCGCCCTATAAGAGCGAGCCGGATACGTTCCCACCGGCTTCGAGCAGGCGCAGACAACTCCGGGAGTTCGTCAGCGAGGCGTGTCAAACATCCGCACGCACCAAAACGTGGGCTGTTTTTTTGTTTGTTTGTTTTGAAATCATTGTCACTCCCCGGCGGGAATCAATGAAGGAAAGACGTCCGTCTCAGAAACTCTCCGTGAAATCCGCCATGGATCCTAGTCCGAGTGTGAAGTGTAAGATTGTGGTGGTGGGAGACAGCCAGTGCGGGAAGACCGCGCTGCTTCACGTGTTCGCCAAGGACTGTTTCCCAGAGGTGAGAACCTTTTTAACAACATGGTGGGGGTGAGGTGCATCATCCGCACGCACAGACTTTGTATGCGATGACGATGGCAATGCCTTGCACAGATCCTCCCTTCCATGTTGCATGCGTACAGTGCATGGGTTGAATGGTGCGGGGCGTGCGAGGATGTAGCGAGTCTTGTGCTAACGTTGCACTGTGTTTGGGTCCCGGCAGAGTTATGTCCCCACTGTGTTTGAGAACTACACGGCCAGTTTTGAAATCGACACGCAGAGGATTGAACTCAGCCTGTGGGACACCTCAGGTAAGAACATGTTCACGTCTCTGTTTCATGAATGTGTTTATACACGTTGGAAGCTTTGAAAAACAAATTTCTCCAAGAAGACATCGAAATAATAAAGTTATTTAGTTTAGTGTGGATGAAAAATGACTACACATATGGCGATGCTAGTTTTAGGGCTTGGACTGGGGCTTCCCTTGCTTTTGGTGAGTGGGGCCTATTGTTCCCCTCCCATGTTCAACTCTTCACACCCCTTGTTGAGGCTGCTCCTTCTTTTGAAAGAAAAACGTCAGAGAAAAAGCAGAAGACTTTTCCTCCTTTGATGCTGGCTAAACGGATGTATTGTGATGTCATGCATGACTGTGGTTTTGTGCGACTTGAAAGGCGCATCTTTCCTGAAACTGACCTCACTCTAAGCACTATGAATAGATTGGCGCATGTTCCCCGGATACGTCCCAACATGTAGCCTTGACAAAGCATTTCCATTTTCTGTTAAATTTGTCGATAAGAATCTCAATCATTTGGGCTGACTGGTAAAGCGCAAGTATGTAAACAAAAACGCACCACAGTCATTTTACATCTGGACAACACACTTTTGGAAATCTGCCTAGTTTTGAGAAAAGTCAAGTCTTGCAACATATGTGCTGCCTCCATGGGTTTTTTTTTCAATCTCTTGTAGACTTTGCGATCAGGGGCCAAATGAGCTGTGGCAACCTGTGTGCGTGTGTGCGTGCGTGCGTGCGTGCGTGCGTGCGTGCGTGCGTGCGTGTGTGTGTGTGTTTAGGGGGTAGAAACAACCCCGCTCAAATCCTTCAATGTCTGAGCAGTGAAAAGCGCAACAGTCAGTCAGTCCGGCGTCAGTCGGTCAGTCCGGCGCAAGTGCAACATATGTTGCATGCGTATAGTGGGTGAGGAAGTAGTGACGAGGTGGGTGATGAAAATGCGGATGGGTGGGACCAAGCAGACAGCCAGCTGTTGCTCTTCTCAGGTTTGGAATTCCTCAGTGGTGTTTGAGCAACTTTTTTTAGACCTCAAACTATTTGTCCGCCTTAAAGAGACACGACTGCAAACAGGCAAATCCCTCTCGAAGAGGCAAGAGTAGCGTATAGGTCGGACATATGTCCTTAAGGGAAATAGGAGAAGAAACATCTGTCAAATATTGCTCGCATTTGGAATTCCTTCACGCCCACTGTTTGTGTGACTTGTGAAAGGCGAAGAAAAGAAAGCGCGTTTTATAGCAGTGTGTCGGCCAGTCGCCCAGAGACATTTTTCTTTTCTCTCTCCTTCATAGAACGAGGTTTGTCTCTTTCAAGGCGTTTGAGGAGGTGTTTTCTTTGATGTTGTGAGATAGCACTAGGAGCCCACCTCAATTTAAACCCCCACCCTGGTTCACGGACACTTGCTGACTGAGCCTCGGCCTCCCGATCGATCCATTACGTGCCACGTCCTCGTGTGCACTCAAACAAAGACCGGTATGCTTAGATAAAGGGCAGGACACATAAATGAAGTCAAACACAATCTCTGAGCCCCCACCCCCTGCTACAAAACACCTACACACACATATATGGTGGGGGGTCTTTGTTGTGCCCTCGGGGCAAACTAATAAGCAGTGTGTGTTTAATGATGGCGGGTGAGATAGGACTAATTCAGGTCATCAAGGCAGACCCCTGACAGTCTGCGCTGCCCTCCATTTGCCCATCCTCCCTTGTTGGTCTTCATTCTCGTGAGCAGTCTTTATTTAACGGTGAGTGAATACCTGCAGTCTGAGACCAGGTCAAAGTAGGACTCAGATGAGCCTCCCACATCGCAACAAGTATTCCTGGGAATGTGCTCCCTTCCCCTGTCGGCAGCCATTGTTGAATGGGATCACATTTCGGGGCTCGAATTAAAGCCGCATGTCTGGCATTCCTCAGACGAGAGGTTTCGCCATCCGCTGGACAAAGAACCCTATTGTGTCCCCAGGTCCTGATCCTTAGCGGGATGAAATTGAAGTAGCGTGGTTCACTCGTCCTACACGGACAAATGGAATCATGGATGAATTAGTCAATTGGCAGGAAATCCCAGAGTGCACAAAATGAAAGGCAGTGCCCTCAGCCTCACCTTGTGGCGGGCCGGATTATGTCACAACTAAAAAACAAAGTTCCCTTGTGATGTGTATCTTTTCTTCTTTTCCCACATTTTTCCATTTTTTTCCTGGATGCGGGTGTCAATGAACTTTATAGACTTTTAGAAAAATAGATGAATAACTCCAAAAGTTTTCTCCAAATGACTAATCTAACGCATTACTTTTCCTAGTAATCAGACTAAAGTTACTTTTCAAACTCGCATCATGTTCCAATGTCGTGCTTATTTACTTTGATAGTAAAGTGATGCTCGAATTTCAGCTGGGAAAACATCTTTCATCCCGAAAGACAGTTCCCATGAATTGCCTCCGGGTTGCAGCAGCGAGCAACATTTGACTTTTAAAAAAAAAGACAAATATTTTTCAGCTTCCTTGGTTACTCACGCACATATTGTACATGCAACAAAACAAATAGTTAATGATTAATAAAATAGGCCAGATACCGATCACCCTCATATTCACTAAAGGCACTCAGCAAACAGCTGGACAGCTTATTGAACTTGTACAAAAGGGGGACTCTAGTCTATACTGTTTGAAACAAGGCATTGTGGTTCATACAACTTCACACTCAATGGAGTGACGTCACATATGCGCATGTCAGATTTTCAGCGCGTCAACAACTCGTGTGTCTATACTGTACCACATCAGCAACAATGGAGGAAGGGGAGAGATTTGCGTTTTCAAGCTGGAAATACTGTCGCTATTTGTTTTTAGTTCGTGTCAGCTGAAAACGAAAATATTAACGTTTGTTGCACACTCTGTGCTGTCAACAGGTGTTATCGAGCTTCCGTAACACTTTGTCAAATACAAAAAGTGGCAAGCAGCACAGTATGCATTTAAGCTTACAGCAAAAGTCCCACCAGATTGTGTGACTGCAGGTGGTCCCCAAATTGTTATCGTTATTGACAATGCACATTATAAATGTTAAGTTTTGCCATTCCAACGTTAATAGTTAAATATGTCAAGTAAAAAAGACTGTTTTTATTGTAAATTTTGTTCTAACATGTGTTTATAGTTAAGTCTTGAAAGACTTTTAAAAATGTATTTTTAATAAAAAAACAAGTAGGCCATTTATGTGTGTTTTTGTTATTTGTGTTTGTTTTATTTTAAACAAAAACAACTTTATTCTTAAATGTCACTATTAAAAATGCACTTCCAATTAAGTAAAGCGGCAAAACCGTGTGTCATTTTTATCTTAAGCAGGGTTGTCGACATCAGATGAAGGTACCGACTGAAGTCATTTGTAATCTAAATTCGTTACTTTTAAATCAATTTAAGCAATTCATCAGTATAGTAACTAAGTTTCTTTTTCAACCGTGGCAAAACCAATCCTGTTAAATAACAAAGAAATGCAAATTTAAAAAAAAGGGGGGTTCTGAACTTTGTTAAAAATTGCCTCATCCTGGTGAATTTTATGATGAATTTCCCTTTTGTTTCTTATTTTGCTGCTTTGCAATGTCAGGGTTAATAATCGCATCTTGCATGGAGCCTTTGTGTCGGAGTTGAGCAAGAGATTATATAAGCTCCGTGGGCTTCAAATGCGGTACGTACCTTTTACTCTTTCCACAGGTGGATCAAAACCTCTGCATGCACACGTGTCCGCGCACACACACACACACACACACACACACACACACACACACACACACACACACACACAGGTGACTGCTATGTAATTAGTCACTGACATTGTTCTAACAGGAACAGTAAACATAAAAGTAAGATACATTCCTGGTACTCTGGTGGTACTTCGGAATACCGATATTCCATCCTGACAGACTATGAACTCTGTAGACAACACCGGCTTGTTGAGACGGATAGTTGTGTGATCTAACACAAACACGCTGTCTTGGAGTTAGCCACAAAAGACGTACGGAATGACCTGCTGATTTCATGCATAGCTATCATAGCTGAGCTTGAGCGGAGAAGCGTAGGACGTGTGTGCATGCGTGTGTGTGTGTGTGTGTGTGTGTGTGTGTGTGTGTGTGTGTGTGTGTGTG